AGGGGGGGGGGGGTGACATTTAGAAACATGGCCTTGGATAGGCTCTCATGAAGCAAGCGTTTGCAGCGACGGAGTTTCACAAAGGTTGTCGATATTTGGGTAGTTTTGAGTGGGCGACATAAGAGGTCATTTGCATTTTTCTACTCTTGAAGTGTTTTTCTTGGGCGCCAGATGGATTGGATAGTCTTTTTTTGCATTGAGAAGCAAACAGGCAAAAGAATCTTTTGCTAGATACCCGAGATATCAGTATTTGTGTTGAGGGCATATAAGTGGATGTTAATTTTCTTCGGTCTTAATTCCTACCTATGGATTTTTGGGGGTGGATATATAGACTGCTGTTTAGATGAACGAATCACTTTCAGGCACTTCATCATAGCCAAAATACGAGATTCCAGCTGCGGTCCATTTAGTTCTTCTCTGGTTACTCACTTCCAATTCCTTACTCTTGTTTTATGACGATAGTGAAATGGACTACCTGATAATTTTAATGCCATTCCAAAGGCTCGTTGTAGGAATCCAGGACTCGATCAATTGTCAAGCAAAGAAGCTTCGGGAAGATCTGGTATGAAGTATGTACTGGACAGGGCTTGTCCCATAACCAAGGATTCTTTATTATAGCGGGGTTTCTTTCCAGTGTACTCTTTAGGCACAGGTGTACAGAACCTCCTTTTGAATTTTCCTTCCTAACTTCAATTCAAACAATCGTCATTTATCTCCACTCTGCCCTTGTTAAATCCATTCACCAGATGCTATCCGGATGTCGAAGGCGGAGTGGAAGACAATCCGGCCAATACTGTACCCAGGGGTGCTGTATAAGAGAGGCGGGCATTATTCTGTACACCCCTACCTAAGTTATAAAAATATTATCCCAAAGACGTCACACAACTACAACAATTCTACAAATCGTTTAGAATAATGAATACCTTTTCACTCCTTACTAACCTCGGTAGGTAAAATAGGACAATAGATTAAGTTGTGCTAGACTTTTGGTATCATAACATTGGATAGCGATAGCGTGGACAGAGTAATGACCAGGTTACTTACACCAAAACGCCATACGGTAAGGATTCCTCGACAGATACTGTACCGGTGGGATGGGAAAGGGATTATTAATACAGCGTGGGGTTTTCCCCCCTAGGCAATACGTTATCCATTACCTACTCAATTCCCAGTTTTCCTGTTGTGTGGAGATAGACGTCAGCCGCCGCTGTGTAAGTGTAACTTCTTGGTGTTTTGTTTGTGTACTGTATACAATATACCTGGATCCTGTGTGGTTTTTCCCCGGGAAATCTTTTAGTTCTATATTTTTCTTTTTTTGCTTTTTTTATTCATTAGATTGTTTTCTCTGCTTGGTCTTACGGTACCAGGGGTATTGGTTCTCTATCTACCGGTTTTTTAACGTTGGGGTCAGAAGGATTGACGGGGGTTTGTTCGCTTAATTGATTGGGCATTGATTTTTCTGGGAGGGGAGGGATTTTATTAATAGGTTGGGCTGATGGTGAGAAGATCTTGTAGATGTGTTCTTCTGTAACGGGTTTGGTGTGATATGGTGTAGTCAGTACCTGAGATAGTCTTCGAAGGAAGAGAACCGGTATGATTAAAGTCCCGACGTACGAAGGACGATGATGACGGGATGGACAAGGGAATAGTCAAGCTCCTTGCACCCAGTATTGTAGATAAAGGTACCTATACCTACCTATATCTATTCTACTTGTGTACTTGCAGCAGCACTGCATATGTTGGGACTACACTTCCTTCACACCCCTCTCACCTGCACGCATCAATGTCCCTCCCCTGCCGGCCCTTATGTGCAAAATCCTTCTTCCTTTTTCCTTCTTCTTGAGGTGGGCGCCAAGTTGACCGACCCTTCCGCTACCGGTATTTACCAATCCTAATTGTTTGGCTTTTGTTACTGTTGGTTTAACTTTAATATCAAATATGAGGTGTAATACAGGAAGAGGCTAAACCTTAGTATTAGACTATTCCTATTATTATTAATACACACCGAGTCAAAGGTGTGGAAGTCATACTGCCATAATATAGGCAGGACTAGCCTAGTCAGGTGGTCCGTGCCACCGAGTATATTTACTCGGATATTATAGCGACACTAGGCCTACTTTAAAAATAAAAGACTCGGTGCAAATAACTAATTATCTAAAGTCCTTAACTAATCAAATCTATTGATTTCTCCCCTAATATTGATTAAGTCTATCGATACCTCGTAATTCGTAAATCTATCTAAATCCTCTAACTCTCTGTATTATCGTTGTTTTACCCTTTACTAATATCCTTACGTTTAACCTACTCTTCGACTATAATCTTAATCTTATTTATATTAATAAGTATAACTAGTACCTAGTAGGGCTTTAATTTTATTATTATATTAGTAGGATTTGTAGTTCCCTTAATCTAAAGGATCTTATAGATTTTATATTATTTATACGCCTAGTATAATACTATTATATTAATTATAAGACGCTTCTCCTTTATTATACTAAGTTTTATTAAGTATTTATATATTAACTTAGAATCTATATAAATCGTTAATTTAAGTATCTTACCTAGGATAGCCTCTAGCGTTAACTTAATAACCCCTACTATATTAAAACCGCTACTTAAAGTATATAACTCAGATACTAATACGCTTTATATAATTCGTTTATATTTTATAGAACTCTAGTATAAAATAAACGTATTATTATCCTTATCTACTAGGTATAAAATATAGCCAGCCTATTTAGGAGGAAAGGTTAGTTAGGTTTATAAAAGAAGTATCTATAAATAATATAAGCTTTAGTAAGTTAATATCTAAAGGTATATATTTAAGTCTACGCTTTAGATTATCGATTAACTATTAAAGGCGCTTATTTAATATATTAATATTACTTTTCTTAGGGTTTAGAGTTTATACTATAATACTTAAATCGAATACCGCCTTAGGTTAGTATACTATAGCTATATAAGCTCCTAGTACTTATTAAGTAATATATTAATCCTTTATAGAATAATCCTTATAAATAATACTATAAGCGCTAATAATATCTATAACTCTATTAGTTACTAGTTTAACTCGATCTCTATAGTCGTAGGTAAGTATAATAGTACTATCCTTTACTAGGGTAATCCTACTACTATTAAATTTCAAAGGTTTATCTAGAGTTAATTCTTTAGTAGGCTTAGATTTAAATATAGCTAACTCTACCTTCTCCTTATCTACGAAGACGGTATTACTAAGGATAAGAGTATTATTAGTCTAAAGTCTAATTATACCCTAAAATCCTACCTTATTTATATAGAGTAAGTAGGAATCGTAGGTCGATTACTATATATCTAGCTTCTCTATATAGTATTTAATATATATATTATACTAGCAATTACCTAATTTAGGGATACTATATAAAGGTTTAATAATCTTAAAGTATCATTTCTCCTATTATAGGCTACCCTTTAGTTCTTATATAAATATAGGGCGATTAAGGTTTATTATTAATTAAGTGTATACCTAAATAATATCTTATAGCTAGAGTTTAATTATTAGATCCTTATAGAACTTAATTACTATAAGTATAATAATAATTTATATACTAACCTTTTAGATCCTAGGTAATTATATTAAAACTAAAGACTTTGTATTATTATTAAATACTTTAACTATAAGTCTAGATTTCTTCAATATCTTAGAGGTACCCTTGTTCTTAATTATATTAATAAATCAAGAACTAAGTATATAAGTATCTAGTAGTAGTTAATTAATAGTAATAACCTTTAAGACTTTATTATTAGTTAATCCGCTTATCTTAACTTATCTAGAATTATTAAATACTAAATATACTATACTATTATCTATAAAATATACCTAGTACTTTAGTTCTATAATATTACCTTCTTTATAAACTAGAAGTACCTTAGTATAATAAACGGCTATAGTATTTTTTAGTTATTTATAACCGTGCTTTAGTAGTATAGCATCCTTTTTATTCTACTTATCTTTATTGAAGTCTAGCTTAATTTATCTTAACTTTTAGGGTTATCTATATCCTTACTTTAGTTAATCCTTATTAGAGTATTTATTAGAATACTCTATAATATCTCTATATTTAAGGTCTATATCTAGTAGATTTTAAAGATTAGATATACCCTTATTTATATATTATAGTTTAATAACTATAGATTAAAATCGAACTAGTTTACCCTTAATCTTAATAATTATATCTTCTCCTTTATATCCTTATAGGATATATAGTCCTTACTACTTCTTATACTTATACTATACCTAAACCTTAGCTCTAAGAGGTAGATCCTTAATCTAATTAGATAGACTATTCTAAGTATTTAATACCTTATTAACCTATTACTTTACCTTAATCTTATATACTTCTACTATTACCTTCTAAAGTATTTTAGAGCGCTTTATAACTATAGTTAATAGTAACTTAAAGTCTTATATCTTTAGATAAGCCCTAAAAACTAGTAGTATTAGTATAAGTCTATTAGGTCCTATAGTATTATCAATAGCTTTTACTACTATTTATAGTATAATATCCTTTAGTAAGTCAAGAATCTCCTATACTAGGATATTATAGGTATAGTAAAGTAGACTATAGTAACATTTAATAAGTCTGATAGATTAATATACTTTAATAGGAGTAGTTTTAATACTCATTCCTAAAGTATTTATATATAATTAAAACTCCTTTAAAGTAAAATTCTTTCCTATATTAGTTATAAGCAAATCTATTAGTCCTAAAAATATATAGAACTAATATTTACCTACTATCTCCTAGATATATTTTACTAATATCTCCTATAACTAGTATATAGTATTCTATCCTATAGCCTTATCGACTATATAAAGTACGAGCTTACTATAAATAAAATAGATATCTATATAGAC